GCGCTCGCAGCCTCGCTCCTTCCCCTCAATCAGGTCTAACAATGTCTATCACCGCCACTTCGGATGACAATCTAGATTTCGTCCCAACTTGTGGACATTGCATGGGGGCAGAAGTCCACGGAGCCCGGTCGTTTCCGCCACAGAATTAGAGAATGGAGATGCCTTGACTTCCCTCCCTTAAACAGGATCACCGACTCATTTTCTTTTTTTCCCTAATCGTGGACACCGACCTGCCGACCCATGAAGACAGCCCACGGGCTACGAAAAGAGGGGGTGGTCAGCTCCGTTCAAGAAAGGGGGGGGAGGAGTGGATTGTGGATATGTCGGTGATGACAATGGAACGGCGTCTTCGGGGGGCTCAAAAGATAGCAATCTCCTCCCTCCCGCGGCGTTCATCTTCAAGGCCGGCAAATCCATCAAATTACCATTACCATTTAATATTCTGGAGGTACAGCGAAGCGAGCTAGTGGGTTCACCATTCAACGAATGATTTATCATAAACGATGCGGACGTTTAGGTCATGTTTACTTTTTCTTTTTTTCCTTTTTTTTTTTTTTTTTTTTTTTTTTTTACGCTGTTCTAGTCTCTCATTCTTCCGGAGGCGAATTCAGCGCCATTATGGCCGGAATTCTACCGGAATTGCCATTCTAATCGCAAGAGGCTGCGATCCGATCCCTCCCTGGTGAACCTGACCTCTTGACCTCCTCACCTGGTTAAAGGGGGGGAGGGTGGAATCAGGAACTATTGCTAATGAACTAAAACCCCCCTAATCATGCCGGGCCAGGGATCCAAGCGAAGCTACTCGGTACTATATCCAGTACTTTCAGTGGTAGGTACTTGTATCCCCTGGCCGGTATATCTGAAAGGCAAATTGAAAAATAGAGAATATGAAAATCCTGCAACAGCCTTGAGGTGCTAAGGAACATCAGACGAGGACTGCAACAGCCCAACTAGCCTGGAGTCGTATGCATCCTGTCATCATCATCATCAACACCACGACCATCATGCTCTTGCTCTCCTTTCAAGCCCTGTGCCTTCGCCACATTCTGTTCGGAACCAGAAACGAGATCACATTTTCCAGTCACACGCATACATGCTTGTAGTTTGCAGGGCCTGTCTCAAAAACCCTCCCTTGTGTGATTTGGCGGCGCGTAGACCCCCTAGCAAGCCGATGTCCTCGAGCCATTTGGGTTCAAGACAACAGACCAACGCCAGCAAATCCGGAACTTTACTCTGCAGCTTCTCCCAAGCGGCCAGTCACCAGAGACTGAGTGCCTATCTTCATTGAGTCTCACTCAACGACAAGCCCCGCGACCCGAGACGAAGACGCGCGGGGGAAGATTTCAATATAGCCTGATTGGGATTAGCGTCGACGGTCGAGGGAGTTTCCCAATGCGGCCCTCAATCTTCATTTCTTCTTCTTCTGCATCCTGCTCTTTGACGCTTTCGTATCGATCCCTTCGTACTTTGGTCCCTGCCACGCCAAAGGCTTGGTGGCGGCCTTGCTATTGCAGAATGACTTGCCTTGTGATAGATGCTTCCGCGCAACTTGCATCCATTACAAATACCTTTTCGGGCGATTGTGTAGCATCTATCGTGCGTATCCGACCATGGATATTGGAGACAATATAATGTTGGGGCTATTGAGCGCTTCATTCATCATTGAAATCCTATTTCCTGCATTTGGCTGCTTTTCAATACTACCTACCTACCGTCCAACGGTGACCACCTTTTTCTGGCCAACCATCTACCCGATGGCAATAACTCGATTTGATGATCAATCATTGTTAATTCGGCGCCTTTGGCAGCTGAAACTAACCGAAAACAGGGCATCCGGCTCTGGCAGAAATCATAGAGATCGTCTGCAAGCCACATATTTATCTTTCTTCATGTACAACACAAAGGAAGCAAGAACCCCTCCCGTGAAAGATCATCAGCTCGTCTACATTCCATCAGCCTATACATAGCATATGGGTGGACGGGCCAAGCAGTCGCACAAGGGAGAGAAGAGAACAAAGAAAAGAAAGCATATGCATTGCCCGGGATCACAGTGTCCTTGATCCAACCTTTCACCACCAAGCACAACAAAAACGGACGCAATTCGGTATCACCGATTCCATGGTACCCTGACAACGTTGGATAATGATGGTCGCTTACCGTCCTACAGTCTTCGAACGCAGATCAGCCGTCCTGGTTTAAAATATATCCAGCAAAGACAATCTATATTGACGGTCCTGTCCACAACCGCCAGGCAGGCAAGCTACGGCTTTGCCCTATCCCTTTTCTTTATCGGGGCCCCAAATTATCTGACACCCAGGAGAGTGATACAGAACGGCGACGTTGATACTCTTGCGTGGGTGAGCAACATTTTCTTTTTCTTTGTTTTTCTTTCTGTTTTTACCTCCTTTATCTGAACGGGAGGACCATCAAAAGTACGTCACGCCATCTCATTGCGCAGTTCCGCCCGGAGTCTGGTCACACAAAGAGGTCAAGCGTGGTTGGATCTTAAAAAGCGACCGCAGCCACTAGCTCCTATGAGTTTCAAGATTCATCTCATAATGCCGTCCATTGACATAAAGACTTGCATGGCATTGCAAAATCGAGTCCGTGGACCGGGGGCACAATATGGCAATTGCTGTGGTGAACCGTCGCTTTTCCACAGACGTGCCCCTTGTCCGACAAGTCATCGGTGGCGGGCTGCACGGTCGGCTGGAATCGGCTGACTTTCATTATCATGCTGTGGCTTTCCTGTAAGCTCGGGGTACTCGGCTATAAATCGGCGAAGTGAAAGAGGAGTCGGGCATACGGAGTGTCACCTTACACCGGATTTGTCCCCTAACCGCTCCATAATTCAGCCCAGGATCAGGTCAAGCTAGGTCGAGATCAGGCTGGGGGAGGCAAAACCAAGCCAGACCGAACTGAAAGCCGACTGTTGCTCGGATGGTCAGGTAGGACCGGTACTTTTGTACGAGAGGCAGGATGCGGGCCTCTCTTTGACTCCATTAGGGTGCATCCGATTCTAGGCTGAGCAGACGCAGCAGCAGGCAGGATTCCAACCGTACCGCCTGTTTTACGTGGACTAACTATATGTAAGCCACCACAGGGTACGGGGATGAAGCGGAGTACACAAGGTAGGTCGGCAGGTAAAGCAAAGCTAGGGAAACCTTGAGATTCGGACGGCTTGGGTACAGGGAAGACGGGGATACCGACTGAGCAACGAAAATACGATGCATATGTATACATTCACATCCTACCTACTTACGGTCCTACCGACCTACCTATCTACCTGGTTTAGGATATCAAAGCTGCCCATTGCTGTACATATATAATATGCACCCATCCTGTGCAATATTATTGCACCGGAAGCTGCATCCTAAAAGTCCGCTTCGGACCATGTCATGTCGGAGTGTACATAAACCTGTTTGTATGGTGTTGATCGAGTCCTTTCATTGTTTGTATGGGCGACAATTCGAAGCCACCAAAGGCTATTTGTGTCAATTATTCCGCGAGGTCGATCGGATCGGATAGGTGTCAGTATTAATGTTGATACGGAGTACGGGGTAGACTCTATCGATGGATGTGCTATGGCACAATTATGAGTTATTTGCCTGTTTGGTGAACCTTGCAGATAGCTTGACATGTCGTTAATGTGCGATATAAAATTGGTAGGGCGCATTTTCTACCTCCATTTCATTTATTCTTCTCCAAATGACACGCGTACATGTAAACCACGCGCATACGCCTTGAACATAATTCTCCCAAGATGAAGTAGGGACACAAAAAGCAAGAAAAGAAAAGTTAAGAGAAAAGTGATCTATCGAGTTATGCCAATACTTGGTGATTTGTGCGCATAAATAACTAAGTAAGCAAGCAAGCAAGCCACTTGGGCAAACAAGCTTGCGTCTGCGCAATCCCAATAGTCCCTCTGTGATACATACAACACACATAATCTGTAAATAGGTAGTGAATTAAGGCCGGAACTCTGCTAATGCCTGGAGGCTTTGGATATTTGGTGAGCCTTATTGTCTGCCTCTATCTCTTCCTCTTAGGGGGGGATTTATTTACTGCACTTTCGACGTACGGGAGACTTTGGGCATTTAGGTACTCTGTGTTTATGTATATATGTACTGTATGTGCCTTGGTTATGTGAGTAACTAACTATGTAACTAAAGAGGGTATGTGACTGATCAGATCAGATCAGATCAGATTGTTCCTAGGTGGTAGTAAGTAAGTAGTCAGTCATTGCTGGTTATTTGTGTTATAGAGTAATGCGGGGTTTTGTTGTGAATTTTTGATGTGTACATACAACCAATGTATAACTATCTAGAGACGGATGGAAATGTGTTTCAACTGATATATTGTACAGTGGGTGGATTGCTTGTAGCCTTTATCGATCGCGATAGAATGGGAATACCATGGCATGTCTTTATATATCTACTTACTTTGGCTAGGTGCTGGCAATGACGCTACATTAGTCTCTGGGGGTTGTCTATGCTGTTGGCCTAGAATCGGGAGATAAGTTGTCCTAAGCGTGATATATGTATGCTATATTAGTATATTTTGAGCGGTGGATGGACGGATGGATGATACCTTATCATCTATCACTGGCTTGCGTGCAATACAAATCCAAGTTATTAAGATTTTCTGCTTGGGGAGCTTTTTGTAGCTTTCAGACATGTATACTATATTCTGATTTGTATATGAGGGAACGTGAAAGGTGAGATCTATCGACAAACAACCTGATTGGTGGATGAGGATATTGATTGTTAATTCCTCTTGTTGGCCCTTTTCTTTCCTCCTGATACAGGGAGATTATACCGAGGTATCATATTTAGAAATGTTTATCTTCTTCTCGTGGCGAGGAGATATATTTATGTTTGTAGATACGAGGGTGCTATAGGTAGTAGGCTTTGCTAATAATATACTTACAACCACCTTCCACCTACCCCTCACACATCAGACTTTCCATTAAGAACCGCCACCACCAAAACATATCCAAAATGGCAGCATATCTCTCCCTCGACGCATTCCAAGAGCTCATAGACTCCATTGTATCAAATCCCGCATCCGCAAACCCAAACAAAGCACTAGCCAACAGCCTTCTCAACTTCCATTTCCCCATCACAAACGGCTACATCATCGTTCCTGAACACCATTCACCAGAATCCATAATTCTCCGCGTCCAACGCCATCAATGTCACTCTGGTGACCGGATCGTGATACACCATACAGTAGCCAAGACCGGACAGGCTACAGACGACACGAACGCATCTCTGAAGCAGCTCGAACGCGCCCTCGACCTATCAAACCCCGATTCTGGGCGATGCTGGGCCCTCCTGCTCCACGGCCTGGAGCTTCGGTTCTATGAATACCATCGGTCTCTTCCGGTGGATGAGCGGCTTGTTCCGTGGGGTCTTCTGGCATCGCAACCTCCGAGGGACTCGTATCATGCAAGGAGCGATAACGTTATCATCGAGGGCATGCTGCAGTACATGGCTAAACATTCTACACCGGATCCGAGATAGGTTGGACTTGTGAGTGGAAAAGGTAGCTTTTGTGGGTGGTTGAGGGGTAGGAGAGAATTCTTTATGGACTTTGGATCGTCTGAGGTTGAGATGGGGTTTCTGTGATCGGATATAGATCTCCAAGGGGGTTTCAGTCTAGTCAAGCTTTTCTGTTATTAACTGTCTGGGTGAAGCAGTCTATTGCTGTTCTTCCATTTTTCCAATAGTGTGAAGACAGAATGGAAACTAGATGTCAATATTCTCGTGAGAGCGATACTGACGATGAGCTGAAAGTTAGAATCGTTAGATAGTAGGTGCTACATGGATGAACTTATGTAGTATATATCAAGACAGGTATAATATGACTCTCCTGGGTATCTATATCTTGTGGCATCTTATACTGTACGCTATAACCAATATGTGAAATACCAGCGGCAAGGATACAGAGAAGAGATTTACATATTCAGGTTAGGATGGTATTGGAACGTAGGGAGTCACCATAGGTCTATAAATAGACAAGACAGACTGGGACTCATACCAGGCTGTAGGCTTGCTAATATGAACCTTCAATGGCGATGATATTGGTGACTGGGCTTGGCTGTTCTTTATACTATATTGCCTATCTCGGGCATCTACAAGTAATATATAGGATCTTAAACGAGGAATCCTGGGTTGCAGGAAGACAGTACCATTCCATAGAGCTCACTGATAGACTGTTTGATACAACATTAATTGTTCACTCCCTAGTAGGGGCTGCTTACTCCAACAATGTAGAATTGAACGAGTGCAGAGAGATAAATATTGGGTAAGATAGTATGTAGTTAACCCTAGCCTGCAACTGGTCTATACTATGAACATACCTAGGTAGTATACACTGCGTGACTACACAAGTATACAACGAGATCCATGACACAAGCGACAGGGATATAAGCTCACCCCCAAACTACCGTTTGAAGATCAGACCACGGGGAGAGAAGGGGAAGAGAAAAGACCCCAAAATCTGGGTAATCGCATAACCCCATCTACATGGGCAGCTGCTGTCCCCTAGCAACCGAGGCCTTTTGGGACCATGTGGAAAAGAAAGGAAAGCAATAGCGGAGTGGAGCAGATGGATTTCCCCGGATTCACATCGTGCCATCAAACGACTGGGATCGAACAAGAAAATAACACACATGGGCGATGGAGACAAGAAAAAGAAAAGGTCTAGACGCGGGTGAAGCCGGCAGGAATCGCGGGAGGGACCGTAGGGCAGACGCGATGACTCATCAGGCCTCCGAGTTGTCTGGCGAGAGATTCTCGTGGGATCGAAGAGACGAGGGAGTTGAAGGGGGGAGTTGAGGGGGAAAGGATCAAAGCACAAAGGGGAATTGGTTCAATCAGGCACGATCAAGAGAGTTGGTTTTCGTGTCCGACTCTGGGGTGGAATTGGATTATTGGAGAGGATATCATGCGACGATACTGTGGTCACTCCGTACAAAGAATGACTAAAATCTCTGCCAGCTTCTCCTCAGGTCCCCACTTGGCATTATCTGGAAGAGTCATCTCTATTATTTAGTTAAATTATTATCGCGTGAAATCTCCCCTCACCGGTTCGTCTCCATCCTGCGCTTAATCTTCCTGTCTGAGGAATTTTACCTTCCCCTCACAGCCTGGTTAGCGTCTCCTCATTCTCCAACTGCAGTGCAAAAACCAAACCTCAAAGGTTCACTCCGTAAACCCTTCTTTAAATTTAGTAGTGACGGATCCACCGGCGTAATCGGCGAGGTCGAGTGGTAGAAGTGGCAACAGCGCGGAAAACTCGGGCGACCCAAGGAGGAGCTGTGAACACACCGATTCGCCCAAAACAGCTTAACTGCCATCCTCCCTTCGCCTTCGTCATCTCCATTTTTTTTTTTTTTTTTTTTTTTTTTTTTTTTCCCTCCGGCACCAAACAATCAGAATTATCTCCGTCGTCAATTGACTCACGTCTTTTTTTTCTCCCTTTCTTTTTTTTTTTTTTCTCCCTCCGTTAACCCTCAGACCCTCTCCCCTCCATCCAATCTTCCCTCCCTTGGGCGACATATCAACCGACAATGGTTGGAAGTACGCTGGCCATCCGCTCCAAGATGGTATCCCCATCGACCATGCAGTTGTCGTCGCTGTCGCGCAGGTCGCTCTCGACGCGACCCATCCTTCGATCCTCCCTCCCCGTGAGATCTGGTGGTCTCGCCCGTCAGTCTCGTCGCACCTACGCCGACGCCGCTCCCACTCCCACTCCCCAGCCGAAGAAGAAGGGCTTCCGCTTTTTGCGATGGACCTGGCGCCTGACCTGGCTCACCGGTATCGCCTTGACCGGCACTCTGGCCTACAGCATCTACGAGCTACGTCACCCCATCGAGCAGATCGAGCCCGACCCATCGAAGAAGACCCTGGTTATCCTGGGTAGGTTTTGATCGCGCGTGCTTCCTTCCGGCTGCCTTGCCTGCTTCCGCGTGTGATCGCGGAATTGGCCGCGGCGTCAGTTCGCGACATCCCTACTAACGCTCTTTGTTTTTGCTCCAAATTAGGTACTGGATGGGGTTCCGTTTCTCTCCTCAAGAAGCTCGACACTGAGAACTACAATGTCGTCGTCGTCTCCCCCCGAAACTACTTCCTGTTCACTCCCCTGCTGCCCTCGTGTACCACCGGTCTGATCGAGCACCGCTCCATCATGGAACCCATTCGCAACATCCTGCGCCAGAAGCAGGCTCACGTGAAGTTCTACGAAGCCGAGGCCACTAAGATCGACTACGAGAAGCGCGTCGTCTACATTAGCGACGACTCCGAGGTCAAGGGTGACATCTCCCACACCGAGGTGCCCTTCGACATGCTGGTCGTCGGTGTCGGTGCCGAGAACGCCACCTTCGGTATGAATCACCGCTTAACTTCCTATTTGGAAAACGTAATTCGCGACTAACCGCAACGTCTGTAGGTATCAAGGGTGTTAAGGAGAACTCCTGCTTCCTGAAGGAGGTCGGCGACGCCCAGAAGATCCGTAAGCGCATCATGGACTGCGTTGAGACCGCCATGTTCAAGGATCAGACCGAGGAGGAGGTCAAGCGTCTGCTCCACATGGTGGTGGTTGGCGGTGGCCCTACCGGTGTGGAATTCGCCGGTGAGCTGCAGGACTTCTTCGAGGAAGATCTGAAGAAGTGGATCCCCGACATCCAGAAGCACTTCCATGTGACTCTGGTCGAGGCCCTCCCCAACGTGCTTCCCATGTTCTCCAAGCAACTCATTGACTACACCGAGTCGACCTTCAAGGAGGAGGCTATCTCCATCCGCGCCAAGACCATGGTCAAGAACGTTACCGACAAGTACATCCAGGCCGAGGTCACCAAGCCCGACGGCTCCAAGGAGATGGAGACCATCCCCTACGGTCTGCTGGTCTGGGCCACCGGTAACGCCGTCCGCAACGTGGTTCGCGACCTCATGAACCAGCTGCCCGCCCAGAAGGACTCGCGTCGCGGTCTCGCCGTCAACGAGTACCTGGTCGTCAACGGTACCGAGAACGTGTGGGCCGTCGGTGACTGCGCCATCACCAACTACGCTCCCACTGCCCAGGTCGCCGGTCAGGAGGGTGCTTTCTTGGCCCGTCTTTTCAACACTATGGCCAAGACCGAGTCCGTTGAGCAGGAGCTGAAGCGGTTGTCCGAGGCTCAGGCTGAGGCCAAGGGCGACGCGCGCAACGAGGTCTTCGACGAGATCCGGGAGCGCCAGCGCCAGCTGCGCAGAACCAAGCAGATCGGTCCCTTCCAGTACTCGCACCAGGGAAGTCTCGCTTACATCGGAAAGGAGCGTGCAGTTGCAGACATCAGCTGGCTGAGCGGCAACATCGCAAGTGGCGGTACCATGACCTATCTCTTCTGGCGCAGTGCTTATCTGAGCATGTGCTTCAGCAGTAAGTTCACCTTTTCTGACCATTTCATACGAAACCTTTTTAACCTCTCTCTTTTAGCTCGCAACCGTGTTTTGGTCGCCAACGACTGGATCAAGGCCAAGCTCTTCGGCCGTGACGTCTCTCGGGAGTAAAGAAATGATCCCCAATATTGGATAGAATGCGGAACCCTTGTACCACCACCAGCAAGATATGCGATGCGATGCCTATGAATATTCGGAGCGAGAGTTTTTTTTTTTTTTTTTTTTTTCTTCTACCCTGTTTATTTCTCATTTCTACCTTGAACCTACTTCTACTTTACGCCGCTTACATGAACACTATTACCTTTACCTACCTTACCAACTCTCCATCCTTTGAACTCTTTCTTTTTTCTTTTTCTGTTCTGTTCTATATCCTTCGAGATGGGTATTCTCCCCTCTGATTGATTGATTTGATTTGATTATCTTGCTTCTTGGTGATTTGGTCCTCCGTCTCCTTCATCCACTGTTGGTCTCATTTCCCAACAGCCAAAAATATTTGAATCCCTCGAGAGATAACAAAAAGCGTGCATTGTTACCCCCTTGGTTTTGAAGGATCTTTTTCTCTCTACCCCCCCCTCTTTTTGTATGTGTTACTCATTACTTTGTTTTCTTTTTGTGTGTATGTATCTCTGTGTTTGGATTAGATAGACCTGGTTTTCTTTTCACCGTTTCCTTTTTTTTTTCTTGATCCTGTTTTTAGACTTATTTGTTAAATTCGGTCTTTTTGTTTCTGGGAGGGCCTTAATCATTATGTTCCTTTTCTCTCTCTTCCTCCTCTCCTCTCTCATCAATTATTACCTTTTCGCTTTATTACTTTTTATACGACCAACTTACCACTTTGTGTTTTAGTATCCTTTATTATTTGGTCATCCCGGACTTGTGTTTATCCTATCCTATTTCATCCTACGTATCCTATCCTATCCAACTTATCATTCTTTTTTTCGAGCAATATAACATCCAACATCCTATTGGGTCATGATCTAATAATTAAGAGTACCTAGCCTAGAACAGATTGGAGAGGAAGGAAACCAGAAACAAAAAGAAACAGGTGTAAAGCACCCGCTGTGCTTGTGAGACTTGATGAT